CACACAAAAACACTCAGTGTTTCTCTCATGTATTCCAGTTCAAATATTTAAAGTAGGGTCGCATCAAACGGGGAAAATGTGCAATGTCGTTGATTATTGCAATAAAAATTATAACAATATAACATTTCCTTAAAGGTGGCATGGTGGCTCAGTGGTTATCACTGTTACCTCACAGTGAGAAGGTCACTGGTTTGAGTCTTGGCTCGGTCAGTTGTCATTTCTGTGTGGAGTTTGCATGTTCTCCCCGTGTTGGTGTGGGTTTCCTCCAGGTGTTCCGGTTTCCCCCACAGTCCAAACACATGCACTATAGAGGAATTGATTAACTGAATTGGCCGTAGTGCATGAGTGTGTGTGTGTGTGTGTTTGTGTGTGTGAATAAGTGTGTATGGGTATTTCCCAGTGCTGGGTTGCAGCTGGAAAGGCATCTGCTGTGTAAAACTTATGCTGGAATAGTTGGCGGTTCATTCCGCTGTGGCAACCCCTGATAAATATGGGACTAAGCCGAAGGAGAATGATTGAATTAAATAAATAATATAGAGAAATGTAATGTTTATGATCTGTTTTTCAAAGCATTGATCGATGTTATGATCATACTATAATAAACAGGTAGTTTATATATATATTTCAGAGCTCATTAAATCAAACGCAGGTTAAAAAATGACATTTACAATAATATGAATGAGATTTTTTACTGTAATATTTGAGGAAACGTTGATTTTTCCTGTAATTGCTGCTGGGTTTGATCATGTTTAGATGTGTGCTGAAGTAAGCTGGATGGAAATGCTGAGTTTGTGCGGTGAAGGTAAAGACTGTGGTGTGTATCGCGACCTCAAGTGTGTGGCGTATATTGTGACCTCCAGGCTGAGCTGATATGTGAACTATATACTGGACACACACTGTGTGTTTGATTCACTGACGGACATCCAGACTCTGTTCACTGTACACATTCAGTCTGATGATGAGCTCAAAGTTCACCACAATAAAGATAACTTGACACTTGTGTATGTGTGTGTGAGAGACAGTGTATGTGAGCGAGAGGGTGTGATGGAGCAATTGTGTGTTTGTGTGTGTGCATGTGTGTGTGTGTGTGTGTATGAGAGAGAAAAATAGTGTGTGTTAGAGAGAAAAAGTGAGTGCGTGTGTGTGAGAGAGAGTGTTTAAGAGAAATCGTGTGTTTAAGCGTGCCCGTGTGTGTGCGTAATAGTAAGAGAAGAACTAGTGTGTAAGAAATGGTGTTGTGTGTGTGTGTGTGTGTGTGTGTGTGTGTGTGTGTGTGTGTGTGTGTGTGTGTGTGTGTGTGTGTGTGTGTGTGTGAGAAAGAGAGAGAGAGAGATAAGGTGTGTAAGAGCGCGCCTGTGTGTGTGTGTGTGCATGTTCAAAATAATCTAAAAAAAGAGATGCTGTGTGTGAGCACACCTGAGTGTGTGTGTATGTGTGAGAAATAAATTATGTGTGTGTGTGTGTGTGTAAGTAAGAGAGAGAAATAGTGAGTGTGTGTGTATGTGTGAGAAATAGTGAATGTGTGTGTGTGTGTGTGTGTGTCTGTGCGTGCACCTGTGTTTGCGTGTGAGAGAGAAATAGTGAGTGTGTGTGCGTGTGTAAAACAGTATGCGAGAAAGAGTGTAAGAGAAATTGTGTGTGTGAGAGAGAAATAGTGAGTGTGTGTGCGTGTATGTGTGCGTGTGTCCGAAATAGTGTGTGTGTGTGCGTGTGTAAAACAGTATGCGAGAAGGAGTGTAAGAGAAATTGTGTGTGTGCGTGTATGTGTGCGTGTGTGCGAAATAGTGAGTGTGTGTGCGTGTATGTATGCGTGTGTGAGAAATAGTGAGTGTGTGTGCGTGTATGTATGCGTGTGTCCGAAATAGTGAGTGTGTGTGCGTGTATGTATGCGTGTGTGAGAAATAGTGAGTGTGTGTGCGTGTATGTATGCGTGTGTGAGAAATAGTGAGTGTGTGTGCGCGTATGTATGCGTGTGTGAGAAATAGTGAGTGTGTGTGCGTGTATGTATGCGTGTGTGAGAAATAGTGAGTGTGTGTGCGCGTATGTATGCGTGTGTGAGAAATAGTGAGTGTGTGTGCGTGTATGTATGCGTGTGTGAGAAATAGTTAGTGTGTGTGCGTGTATGTATGCGTGTGTGAGAAATAGTGAGTGTGTGTGTGTGCGTGTATGTATGCGTGTGTGAGAAATAGTGAGTGTGTGCGTGTATGTATGCGTGTGTGAGAAATAGTGAGTGTGTGTGCGTGTATGTATGCGTGTGTGAGAAATAGTGAGTGTGTGTGCGTGTATGTATGCGAGTGTGAGAAATAGTGAGTGTATGTGCGTGTATGTGTGTGTGTGCGTGCGAAATAGTGAGTGTGTGTGCGTGTATGTATGCGTGTGTGAGAAATAGTGAGTGTGTGTGCGTGTATGTATGCGAGTGTGAGAAATAGTGAGTGTGTGTGCGTGTATGTGTGTGTGTGCGTGCGAAATAGTGACTGTGTCTGTGTGTGCCTGTGAGAGAGAAATAGTGAGTGTGTGTGCATGTGTAAAATAGTATGCGAGAAAGAGTGTAAGAGAAATTGTGTGTGTGAGAGAGAAAGAAATAATTTGTGTGTGTGTGTGTGCGTGCGTGCGTGCGTGCGTGCCGTGTGTGTGTGTGTGTGTG